CAGACACAAAAGTGGAAAAAGGTGAGGTGAATACTGTGGAGACACGAAGGTAGAGAAAAAGGTAAGATGAGTACTGTGGAGGCTTAGAAAAGGTAGGAAAAAGGTGAGGTGAGTACTGTGGAAGATACAAATGTAGAAAAAAGGTGAGGTGAGTACTATGGAAGTATACAGACTCAGAGGTAGAAAAAAGGTGAGGTGAGTACTGTGGAAGTAGACTAATATGCCATACAGTGGGTCATGGTAGTTTGAAGTCAACTGCCAGGTAATAGACTTTAGTTTGAAGTGAGAAGTCAACTGCCGATTGATAGACTTTTATTTGAAGTCAGAAGTCAACTGCCAGTTAATAGACCTTTTCAGTCAGAAGTCAACTGCCGGTTTATAGACTTTTTTGCCGTTTGAGTAGTCAGAAGTCAACTGCCGGTTAATAGACTTTTTTGTGAAGTGAGAAGTCAACTGCCAGTTAATAGACCTTTTTGCGTTGAAGTCAGAAGTCAACTGCCGGTTAATAGAATTTTTTTGCCGATAGTGAGAAGTCAACTGCCGGTTTATAGACTTTTTTGCCGCTTTGAAGTCAGAAGTCAACTGCCGAATAATAGACTTTTTTATTTGGTAGTTTGAAGTGAGAAGTCAACTGCCAGTTAATAGACCTTTTTGCGTTGAAGTCAGAAGTCAACTGCCGGTTAATAGAATTTTTTTGCCGATAGTGAGAAGTCAACTGCCGGTTTATAGACTTTTTTGCCGCTTTGAAGTCAGAAGTCAACTGCCGAATAATAGACTTTTTTATTGAGTCAGAAGTCAACTGCCAGTTAATAGACTTTTTTTGCCGTATGGCCGTATGATTATACGTTGCCCAGGGTGCACCACGTGGAGGTAAGTCTATTGAAAAACGAATGCCGAGTGATAGAATTTTTGCCGTAAGAAAGTACGTTGCCCAGGGTGCACCACGTGGAGGTAAGTCTATCGTAGTTAACTGCCAGTTAATAGACTTTTTGCCGTATGAATATAATTGCCCAGGGTGCACCACGTGGAGGTAAGTCTATCGCACATCCCGTCAAAATGAGTATAGACAAGTGCTCTGTCAAACAGTCTTGATGCGCTTATTAGCGTTTCTTTGCATTAACGTAGATAGAGGACTCGAGTGGAGAAGCACCGGTGAACTTGAGTGAAGAAATGAGCTCCCATCAGTTTGTGAACAACAAGCCAATCTTTGCCAAACTTCATGTTCAATGGAATAAATTGCTCCAGGTTGCTGAACTTCTGCATTTTCAGAAACCAATCGTAAGTTTGTCTTTTAATTCAAGCGTAGTAAGAATAGTATGTAAGAATACTAAATCAAATTTTTTTTTCATTGCAATATTCAGGTAAATGATCTTTAATTAGAGTAAACACAACTACATCTAATGGTGGGTCGCACTTTGTTTGGGCATACACTACATTCTGTCTAGAGATTCGATCGATTTGTGAACATATTTCTTCAACGTGATTCGCGGAGATCTCATGTCTTGTTGATTTCCACCTTCAGTGTTCTCGGTGAAACTCAAATTTACAAAGTTAAAAAATATATGTGGATGGAGTTTGACTAGTTAATACCTTTCGTAAAATTCTGATTGGCTGGAAGCCCCTCGCATATACTCAATTGCCAATGAGCTGTCTGTGTTCAGTTAGCAACAACAGGAGTTGCCTTTGTTCTCCTCATTACAAGATTTTTAACCCGTGGCAAAGACAAGTAATTCTGAGTACAATGAATGTTAAGCGGGCCTAATTAAAGCTCTAAACGAAGGGTATGAAATTGAAAGAACTCTATTTCCTCTGAAGTTTAATGACTTTGAAGGGAAATTCTTATTGCTACATCAAGATCCGATGTCATAAAATCCATCCTCCACATTTTTATTTATTAGTAAAAATTTGCATTTTTCAGATTTGTTGAGTCATTAGGTTGAAATGCAGAGCTATTGTGTATGTATATGCCAAAGTGAGTAGTATCACAAGAATCCTGTTGTGTCTTATTTAATCCCTTTTGTTTAAATTTTAGGCAATCGGCACAAAAACGATTTACGAGTCATTTGCAATTTCTCGCAGATCAGCGTAAGTTTTAGCATTTTCTATCGTTTGGCAATTACAAATCAATATCTAATGGAAATCCTTCTATTTCTTGTCCCATTTGACATTTCTGATTGGACGAATTAGTGGTAGTCTCTTGAAGTACTTCAAACCGATATCCAATTAAAAGTCTCGGTATTCTTGATTTCATGCTATAAATTCATGTCATTCCATGTTCCTACAAACATGCTTGGCACTTGGATGAAGAAATCTTCATTGAATTAAATCAAAGATTGATTCGTAGTAGGTTGAGAATTTCAACAACATGGAACTCAGGGTGAATTAGAAAGAGCTGAATGAAGACGTACTTACGGAGATGAAATCATAGGTATTTACAATTTGCGCAGGTTAGTAGATGACGCCTCAAGAACCGGTGATTGAAATACCGCGGGGAATGGGCCGTTTGGACATACTAGTTTTGATGATTCATTGAGGTTTAATAAAAACGAATATTTTCATAAAAAAATGTTCTTTTCATTTTTAGGTTTAAGGGGTTTTCAGACAACGAAGCTGATTTCTTCACTCCCACAGAGAGGATATTGGCGATCGAATACATCCTCGATCACTCTAATTTTGAAGGCTTTGAAGACGATGTAAGTTCAAATATGTTGACCCCTCAAGGTAAATGCTGTGTACGGAGGTTACAAGTGGAAGGTATTAAGAACTTAATATGAAATGAATAATACAATTTATTAATTACTTTTACTTACTAGAATTTCGATTATTGGTTTTAATTAGGTGACGTTACTCAGTAACGCATGTCTAACAAATCATTTCCTTCTCATCCCTTGATGTGTTACTGAAACTATAATTAGTAGTCAAATTGAGTTCAAGAAACGTGCTATTATCGAAAATTTTAATTTCGAAAGCCCAACGAATCATTTGCGTCTATTCATTTGGAGCGTTGGGGGGTTTGGGTGGGGGGTGGGGAGGCGCTTAGCTTGTTTAGTTGATGTTGAGCTGAGAGATTGTGAGGTGTGTGTGAAATTTGCATGAAAAGTGAGGAACTTTGCCTTTTTGTTAGAAATCAGACGCAACAAAGGAGGCCGCTCTCTTGCCAAAGACTGTTAGCATCGATGAACTAAGGAAGAGGGGAGTTATACTCGCACTATTTCCTCTGCATGAGGTAAGGAAACAATTGGCACCATTTGTAATGGCATTAAAAAATATCATTTATGAATACTTCCCTTATTGTGAAAGCCCAGAACACAACCAACTCGTGGGTATCTGTTGAAAGAGTGGGCTTCTCCTCATCGGATTTGCCATCTTCAACCGCTAGATAAAATCCGGTAGGCAGTGATAGTTTGAAATCATGAAGCACTTTCTACTTAACTGCCAATAAGTAGTAGTACGTTGTTGTGTGTTTTAGAGAGTACTTTGGTGAAAAAGTGGCATTCACTTTCGCTTGGATCCAATTCACAATCTGGAGTTTTCTCATTATATTCATTGTGGCGCTTGTTGCTTCTGCGATTCCACCTTTTCTACCACGTTGGCCACATTCCATTATGTAAGCAGAAGTTGAACTTGAATTTCTTTCCTCCGCAAAAATTGTTAACTAAATTAACTTAATTATTGTTGTTGTTTGAAAAATAGTGAAGAGGTTTGTTCCAACACAAGTGCAACATTCATCCTTTGCCCCACCTGTAATGGAACAGGATGTCGGTTCAAGAAATTGAAGAGGTCTTGTGGTGATTTAAAGTGGACTTACTTCTTCGATAGTCCAGCGTCGGTGTTTGTCGCGTTCATCGCCCCAGTTTTTGGTAAATTCAATTAGTTTGTTTGCAAATTCCCGAAAAGCAATTTGAAGGCCAAATCGTTCGTAATTTCGGGAAATTTTTCAGAAGCCTTTGTTTCGTTCAATAGAGGAAAATATATTAAGGAAGTAGTATTTGGAAATCAACCTTGAATGATTTGATGAAAAATGTAATAATAATAGAACAAGTTGATCCATGGGAAAATGAGTTGTGGGAACTAAATTAGCAGCACTTTTGCTTTTCTGCAGGAATGGTATACTTGCGTCTGTGGAGGTTTCGTCAAAGCAAACTAGAGTACAAGTGGCATTTGCACAACTACAAATCTACATATGAACCTTCCAGATACCAGTATCTGAGAAAAATGAGGCAAATGAATCACATATTCTCTAAGGCAAGTCACTTTTGAATATTTATCATTAATTTGTTCATGGTTATCAGACGAAAAAGTTCCTTGCACATTCCAATTAGACTAAAATGTTGATGGTTCGGCTCATGTGTGAGCTAGATACCCCGAGTTGAGTAACTTTGAGGTGTCAAGATCTGTTTGGGAGAGATTGGTTAATTATGATGCTAAAATGCCATTTGGTTTTTTTCGTTTTAAAATGAAAGTAAAATAAATCGATTGAGCTCTCTCTCTCACTATGAGCTGTTGGTTTGGAGACAGTATCCATCACGTTGAAGGTCAAACTGTTGTGTTGAAATTTTATTAAATGGAAGGGAGTTCCCATCAGACTCCTGTCTACTTTCCCTTCTACTTTCATTATGCGAATTTTAAGTAAGGACATTCGGTTTGTTAATCAAATTATTGAATTTGGAAATATCAATATACATAACTTTATTAGATTTTCTTTTATTTCAGAAAGCAGGGCTACCGTATTGGACATACCGAATACCAGTTCTGGTGTTTACTATTTTCACTACCATAATACTGGTAATGGTTGTTTTAATTTTATTGGTTCATTTGATCTTCTTGATAAGCTGTCAGACTACTTTCACAGTACTCACCTCATCTTTTTCTCTACCTTCGTCTTTGAAACACTCTTCTTTCCCCCCCCCCCCTCTCGACTTCCTACTCCCCTCTGTGAAGCCTGAAGTCAACTAAAAGGCTAATGATATCCATCAAAATGCCTGCCATTTGGTACACACACACACACACACACGCACGCATAATAGAATGTGCTCATCAAAAGCTCTTCTATGATGTTTCATTTTCAGATCAGCTTATCGGTAGCCCTGGAAGTGCTAACAGACTTAATCTCCTCGCTAATGGAGGACAAATTTTCGCGCTCGAAAAATGATTTCACAAGTGTGAATGCACGCTTCATTGCATTGGGCATTTCTCAAGTGTTTAACGGCGCTTGTGTCTGCATGTTAAGTGCCGTGAGTGAAGACATTTCACTTAATATGTCCGTTTTTGTTTCATTGGTGATAGTTTGAGTTCTTCTCATGTGTGGGTGAGCACACAGCGTAAGTAGCTCTAGGTGCATATTGTGCCACCCCTGTTGATATTGATATGACTTAAGCAACACGAAACATGGTATTGGGGGGGGGGGGGGGAGTAATTGCTGATTGGTAAATCTTGTGAAAAGGGATGCTGGCAATAGTGCCAAAGTATTTTTTTCAAATAATAGGCTTTATGATATTTATCATCAGCCCTTAAACTTTGACTTCAGCTTCCCCCATGGGTGGGGGGGGGGGGTACATATATAGCAGTTCATTAGCTGTATTCTTGCTTCCCCGTATCTCTGGATTTCCGTCGTTGTCTTTAAGGCTAGACACCGAATCAGGTGGGTCTCCTTCATTTCCTCCTGTAGATTACATAGGGGGCATGTGGGCTGAAGATGTTTTGTCAGGCAATCGTGTTCGGTGCGAAGTCTAAACTCAACAACGGCTTCAATTCTTGGCCAGTCGGCTATGTCGGAGAGTGCCACTGTCCACTGTTTCTCCTTTGTTCGAGCTTTAGTTTCGTTACAACTTGAGGTCTTGAATTCTCTCCTGATTAAGGTCTCCATTGTGTGGAAAGGCATCGGCCGGTCCATGCATTGCAAAATTGTTGTCCCCTTCTTAGCAAGTGTGTCAGCAAGCTCATTGCCTTTATTGCCACGGTGACCAGGAATCCATTGTAGGACCACTGGTTTGTTTTTCTCAGCAGCTGATAGAGTTTAGTGCCAAAGTATCGACTTCATTGCTGCGAACATCTGTACACAACGATCAGTTTGTCAGTTGAATCGTCTCTCCCCAATCGCCTTGGGGGTGAAAAGTTGCAGATATTGAAACCAGTAGTAGGCAAGACATGTCATAGTTGTTATGGCTTTGGATCAGCTTTATTTTCAGTTCCTGTTGACTCGAAGTGAGTTCTAGGACAGAAAGATTAGGAAAACTTGTCAAAGTGACCGGAGAGCAAACATTTATTTTATTGAGGCATTGGGGTTATTTTATTGAGTCGTTTCCGAATTCTCTTTCTCTGCTATTTAGCTCTATCGATTCTGGATTACTTGGTCAACCACTGCTGAATGCCATCGAACAAAGGAGCAACATGTGCGAAGCTTTCTAATCAAGAGCTCCTTCATGGAATTCGTCAATATGTACCTCTCGATTGTCACTGGAATCCTCGTCCGAGGACTCAATTTTGGCTACCCTGGTGGAGATTTAACTCTATTCCAGTCACCAGACGTAAGTACTCCAACACATTAATCAATGGAGAGGGTTAGCTTTAATTTAAAGGCGCAGCAAATAAGATTGAATTTGAAATAATTGAAACACTTGAAAATGTTTGAAATTTAATTAACACATGCATAAAATATTTTAATGCATCTATTATAATGAAAACACAATAATAGCAAAAATGACAAAATAAACAATGAAAAGCTCCTAGTAATTAACAGACACATTAATATAAACAAGAATGAATAGTATTTTCTTACGACTAAATTTAGTCAAGTTCTGATTTCAATTTATTCATCTAGTGGCCAGTTTGGTCTGGACTCTTCGGCATTTTCTACGAAATTTATATCAAATGCACCACCATTGTATTCATTAAGAGTGCCAGAGAATGGATTCCGTAAGTTGACAACTTCCGCTACTTACCACTTGTTCAATCTTTGAAGCATTGCATGAATATGAAGCCATTTCTGCCTGAACTGGGATGTTTTTTCATGTGTTGATTAGTTGGAATGAGGTGAAGGAGAGGATGCCTCCCATTCTGGGTGGCATGGCCACACCTCCACCGCCAAAGAAGGTGACTGCGGGCGTCAATGCGAGCGAGTCTTACAAGTTCTGCCTTGATAATTACAATCTACTGGAGTCGGGGGAGTCTCCGCTGTTCAAACGACAATTTGACATGTGTAAGTGGTGCTTCTATCAAATTATGCCAAATGTGACAACACCAACCCCCCCCCCCCTCCCTCAAGATGAAACGACTTTAGTGCTCGTTTTAACTGAATCTTCACTGAGGCTCATGGGTTCACCTCCTGTGTTTCTGCTTATTGCATCAATGTTGAACACACCTAACGATGTGGAATAGACTAGTCACTGCTTCTCCCCTCAGCATAGAGCAATGCATTGAATTGGAAATAGAATATACTCAGAAAAATAATTGGATTCGAAGTTGTTGATCATGAAAGATTTCTTTTCTCTATTCCCCATGACACTCTAGCCACCTTTCAGCCTTTTTACGACAAGGCTGATTAACTTTCAACAATATATATATCAAATGGCAGGCGTTTTGATGGTTATCATTAGCCCTTTAGTTGACTTCAGGCTTCACAGAGGGGAAGGAACAACAAAGTGAAAAAAGTCGTGGGGAGGGGAACTGAAGAGTTTCAAAGACGAAGGTAGAAAAGCTAGAAAAAAGGTGAGGTGAGTACTGTGGAAGGGGTGGAATATGACATAGAGTGGGGTGATGGTAGTTTGAAGTCAGAGGTCAACTGCCGGTTAATAGACTTTTTTGCCGTATGAGTATACGTTGCCCAGGGTGCACCACGTGGAGGTAAGTCTATCGCACACCCCCGATATATATATATCTATATATGTGTGATTTTTACGCTGCAATTTCAGGTATTTTCATTGGATTTGCAATACTCTTCCTTCCTGCCTCCTTTACGTGGGTAGTGACGTTTCTGCTACTGAGTACCTTGACGCTGAGGGGCTTCGCTATGAGATTGACTCGTCAATTGAGACGCGTATCTCCCCTGCGTGCGCGATCCATTGGTAAAGGCCTTTCTCTTGCATTCATGACAGGCTCCTAATGTGGTGATATTTTAATTCATTCGGCCTTCGAATTCGTACCTCCTTGATCAATACTGCTCCGAATTGCTTTAGCATAGCAATGTAATCTCAAGGCAATTATTGTGCTTCAGGAGAAAGGTGGCAATCTAGCTCTGTGTGTGAGTTTGCAGGTGGCCCTTTGAAGGGTACTGGGTGGAGGGGAGGTTGAAGAAAGTTGGAGAAATGTGCTGGCAGACGGTAACATGGAGACGCTTACAGAGATATGGTAATTCATTTAGGTGTAATGAGGGTGGATGAAGGAGTTTTTGCATGCATGACAACTGTAGGTGGATGGGTAGGAGGCTCCACTGATTATCTGGAGAGTCGGGGTCTACGAAATCATTCTTATTAGCTTCTTTTTTACTTTATTTTTTTTCATTGAATAGGAATGTGGATGATAGTACTCAAGGGAATAACGGGCCTTTCAGTATTGACAAACGTAAGTGGGTACTACTTTGTCTTTCCACCCTTACAGAGTGTTTATAAAAATGTGTCTTTTCATGATTTTAGGCCTGTTTAATAGCCTTTGGAAGTGAATTTGTGAATAAAGTGGTTTATCAAATGTATTACTCACCTGATGGTAGCATGCAGGGCTATGCAAACTTCACCCTCTCCTACATGGAGGTGAACAGTTTCGAGGTTTCCGAAAGAGATCAGAAATTACTGAAGGGCGCTCAATACTGCAGGTTGGTAGATTTCTTGCACAGCAGATATATTTTCGTCTTGAAAATCTGGTTAATACATATACATACATATATCGATTTGCAATGATATCGAGTGCCATGTATTACACTCGATTAGTCCTTGGCTCTACCCTAGTAGTCTTCTTTGGCGTCCAGGTAGCTACGCGCAATTACAACTGTAAATTCCTCCAGAATACTTGTTGGCCACAAAAGTAGCTAGGGTACGTCCAAGGGAGCAGAGGAGGCACAGTAGTAATTTTGTGTAGAAGGTTTACTGCCAAGTGTTTAGCAACTAGGTTCAATTAAAGTTACGTTACAGTTTTAAAGATTGCCAATAGTGATTGGAAGGTGCTATCATGCCGTTGTACTTGCTCGTTACACGATGGGTAGGCAATCTCATCTTCTAGGAGGTTCCAGAGCACGAGATTCTTCTCATCAGTTCATTTACTGTTGAACAACCCCACACAATTGCGACACAGCGTTGGACACGCTGATACGGAGTTGACTACGTTATCAATGACAAATCGTAGGAAAAATTAATATTTATAATTACATTTGGATTGATTGTTAGGCTCATCAAGGATATTAGTTTACTTAACGCTTATAATCAACTTGATTCCATTCTAAATTTCAGTGGATTTGAAGACAATCAGTTATATTTTCCACCCAAGCTCAAATTCACACATTCAAATAATTTTTGTTGCTTCCAGATACTTTGGCTATCGCGAATCGCCCGAGAGTGCGAATCCCTATGCTCTGTCATCTGTTTTTTGGCATATTCTCGCGGCTAAATTCATTTTCCTTTCTGTCTTTATTGTAAGTCACCACATTATTTCTAAATATTAGCATTAATAAGAAATTACTAATGAGGTAATCAATAGTTTGCACGTAGCTCACAAAATGTTGAAAAACCCTCTCGACTACAAATAGAGTTTAAGTGAGGTGTTCTAAGGTTGTTATTATTTAACCTTATTTCCCACTTATTGAAATGTGACTGGAAATAGTCGTCGAAGTATTTATTTCAAATGGCAGGCGTTTTGATAGCTATCATTAGCTCTTTAATTGACTTCGGGCTTCACAGAGGGAAGGTTCATCAAAGTAGCAGAAAGTCGAGGGGTGGGGAACAGAAGAGCGATTCACAGATGTAAAAGAGGCAGACAGACACAAAGGCAGAGAAAAAGGTAAGGTGAGTACTGTGAAAGCGGTCGAATATGACAAGCAGTCGTACCATGGTATTTTGAAGTCAGAAGTCAACTGCCGGTTAATAGACTTTTTTGCCGTATGAGTATACGCTGCCCAGGGTGCACCACGTGAAGATAAGTCT